GCGCATAGGTCAACTTGCAAATTAAACAAAACAATAACGTAAGGGACAGCCCTACTTCTTCGCAAAGCAAAATGATTAAACACTATCATAAACATAAACATAATTTTTCAAATAGTGCGCCATTCAATTTCAAATGAATTCAAATTTTCCTTTCAGTAAACAGACGCAACAATCAAATACAGTGATTAAATATATGTACAAAACACATGCAGTAGCATTTAAAGGAGTAGATTAAATTCAATTCTTTTAATTTAAACCGCTACAAATAGGAAAATTTCGCGGAAAGCCCAAAGCAATTTTTAATTTTAATTCAAGTATTTTTTTTTACTAAGTGCTCGACCAAACCAAATCTAATACCCCTTGACAGCGTGATTCAACGCTCCAGAGGGGCCCTAATCTTCCCACCACCAAGGGGAGGCCACATGGCGTGAACCCGAGATCGCTAACAGTCGCCACTCGGGTTGTACGCCTTCACTGAGGCCGTCGGCAACAGAATATTTTGACAAGTGGACTGTTGACGGCTTAAGGCTCAGTGGATGTGGCCGTGGTGGGAGCTAAGGCGGCAGCTAGCCAGGGCCGCCTCCATCAAATGGGGAACAGTGGTACACCAGTCGCGGCCACTCAGCTAACGGGAGTGAGAAGGGTCCAGCGGACCGATGAGTGGCCGTGAAGTTCCTCTCCACACGCTTAGGGGGGGTGATGACACCCCCGCCCCTGGGGGAATTACCCCCCGACTGGTCGGGGAAGGGACCCCTTTCAAACTTAGGGGCCTGATGGCTGGCCGGCGGGCGCCGAGAGTCGCCCGGCAGAGGGCGTGGCTGAGCGCCCCCGCCCGTGGGGGTCGAGGGCCTGGCAGAGCCCCGAGAGGAGACGCCGTTCGCACTCAGGCAAAAAACGGCATGATGATTGCCCTGGCAATGCAGACAGGGCCGCCGATGCGGACAGTCTCGCTGGAGGTGTCCTCCCAAACATGAACAGCACCAGCGGCGCTCCTTAGCGATAGTTCGCCTCGCTGGAACCGGCTTACCTAATAATTTTGGGCACGACGTTACCCGATGATCAGAAACTCGACAATAGGAGCAGGGGGGGGGTTGACGACGACTTGCCTGGCGGGTTCAGCCTCTCACTGGGCACGTCTCGTAAGTCGTCAACGGTGCCCGCCGCGTTCTCGATCTGCCGGCACTGCTCCTCTAAAAACCGCAGCAGGTCATAGAAGGGCGGAATATAGGAGGCCTCGTCCCCGCCGTACCTCTCCTCAAAATGGATTCGAAGGTCGAGAGGTAGACGGGACAGCACTATGCGGAGCAACAAAAAGGCCCATTCGCCCACTGGTAAACCCAGCCGCCTCAACGTATTACAGGCCACCAAGACTGGATCCAACAGGTTCGGACGCAGTCTGGCCCGGTCACTAAGCAGCGGGAGGCTTAGAAGCTGCTTAACATGCTCGTCTGCAATTCGCCGGACGTTGGCGTATCTTCTGGCTAGGAGGTCCCGAGCAGTCTGGTAGGCGTCGTCCGACAATTTCAAGTGGCCGACGACGCCCTGGGCCTCCCCCTCCAGTGAGGCCAGGAGGTACGCCATCTTTTTCTCGGGGTCAAGTCACTCCGGGCGTCCACTAGGCCGTCGAAAGGACCAACAAAGGTCAGCCATTCGGAAAGGACCCCGGAGAACCTTGGCAGGTCCAGAGTTGGGAGTCGTCCCAACAGCTCCGGCTGAAGCTGCTTCAGAGAGGACTCGGGCAGGTTACTCATCCGAGCTTCACGCGCCTCCTCGGCATACCTGCCTTCAGCCTCGATCAACTCGTCCGTGAGCCACAAGAACTGCTCATAGTCCGCAAAGCAAGAGTCCAGGACTCCCTTCTCCACATCCGAATCCTCGAGCTCAGCGTAAGCCTCCTCCACTGCGGCCCTTCGAGCATCCACCTGCTCGAACCGCTTCATCAAGTTATGGACCCTATCCGGTCGACCTATCAAAGCATGGGCGCTTGTGGCCCAGCGCAACTCAGTCCGCAGACAACGGATCAGTAGCTTAGGCGATGACATCACTATTAAATACAAAGTACGACGCGGCTCGAGCACAAATTACAAAGGTAACAAATAAAAAATACACCAAAAATTAACAGTTAATAAATGCAGTTCCTATCAAATCGCGTTTAATAGAAATTACACAAATACGAATTACTACGTATCAACCAAATACAAGTTAGCACAAAAGAAAAGGCACAAATCAAATTAACAAATAACAAATACTAGTGCGATCAAATCAAGTTAAATTCAAATGGCGCAAATACCATTACTACTCTTTAGTTCAAATACAACTTACAGTATAAACGAAGATACACATCACGGTCGATCAACAAAAAATGCCTAGCTCGGAAATCGACCCTTCGATAAGTAATCCACTACAACTATCCGACAACGATAATTAACCGATTACGTAAAAATAACCATCTACCTACATGACGTATATCTCTAGAAAACTCCCGCTTGCGCAACCTAGGGCGCAGCTTTTCAAATCTACCCACTAACCAAAAAAAGGCAAGCAACAAAGAACAAAGGGAAATAATTCTATTATTACGTACAAAAAAATATTTTTACGTATTACGGACGGGCGTGATTGTAGATGCAAATTAAACCAATCACACCAACGCTCCCTGCCACCAAAATTGTTTAATGTTTATCAAACACTATAGTCGGGATCGACCGGGAATCGAACCCGGAACCGCGCTCTGCTACCAGTATGTTACGGCCTACGGCTGCTCCCTTAAAGGATCCAATCTTCAGGGGCCCATGAGCTGAAGACCTCCCGAACAGACGTAGGTCGGGCCTCCTAAGGCCACGTGGAATCTCTCTAATTACACTAAAATATATGGCGGAGCGTTATACTACGGCCAGTCGACCGGAAGGAATATGGATGAAGCTTACTTACCTATTCAAGGCGACTGGTCCCTCCGGAGTCGGTCAGGTCGCATGTGGTTGTGTAGTGCAAGGGAAAGAATGGTGATGTGGTGTGTAGCTGGGTGTGACTGATGGTTATTGAACCTAGACCTTGGCCGTCGGCAGCAGCCCGAGCGTCGACACCGCTCCAACTTGAGGGCGCCTTTCGAGGTTGTCCACAGTCACTTTCTTCTTTCGTCACGATGACTGTCACTTAACTCTATCGTACGATTTACTAACTTACAGAAGCCACTAACTATCGCTGGGTATAATGGTTACCGCACAAACGCACACGGAGTTTAAAGGGTCAAAGGTCACTACCGTTTCGCGAAGCAATAGTTAATTCTAGAATATCAGAGGCCGCACTATCTAATATTGCCGAATGCACTTATGCAGGTTTTGAGTCAGACACAATAAGTCCCGGGAAGCTCTCCAGTAGGAATGCGCGTCACAATGAGAGACCGTATATTTACTGGCCGCGCCTAATTATTCCGAGTTCCCTAACAGAATGGACCGCGTGCTCACGTCAGCACCGATTAAAGACGACTAAATGACAGAGTGCCAATCGTGAGCACTGTCTAAGGACGACTGACTTTTCTCTCGCGACTCGCGCGCTCGTGCCACGCCTAGCCGAACTTCAAACCGGAATCGCGCCGAGCCGAGTGACATCTGGTGTCGACTCCGACAACAGTGTTTTGCGCGAACAGTAACTATTAACAAATTCTACTTTGGCACACTGACATGGTTGAAATAACATATCGCTGATGTGAAGAATGGACGCTTCAAGAAGTCTTCAGTATGTCAAGATGTTCAGGATCGTCCCAACTATTATATCAGATTTGATAGAACATAAATCCTCGCAAAAGAACACCGATTCCCACCAAGGATGATTCGGGAGGCTATTGAAGTTAAAGAACATCTTAATTTCATTAGTAAAGATAGCTGGACGCTATCATCTGCTTGGGATGCTATAATTAATAAAATTAAACCTAAAGCCAAGCATAGTTTACATGCAGTATCTTGAAGTCTTGCACTATACAAGACTTCTAGATACTGTATGCAAACTCGTTCTGCGAAGATCGGACCAAAAATAATTAATAAAAGTTGAAGGTAGTCTTCGTTAACTATGAGATCGCGACGTCAAACACCTCAGTGACAATGGGTGCTGGAAAGTGCCCGAAACGTCGGGAATTAAAAAAGTTAAAATTTAATTTAAATTGAAGTGAAATTTATTGAATACTGTGCGGAATCTTGGATGTTATTTGTAAACATTAAATTAGCAACATGGACTCAGTTGTGACTCTTTAGTTTTGTTGATTTGTCGTGTGTAAATTTAGGACAATAATTGTTACTTTGTGTACTTTAATTATAAAATTCGTCACCAGGTGTGAACCTAATAAAGCACTGTCTTTGTTGAATGTTAAAATTATTTGTATTCAAAAGGCACTTAGTATCTTGTAATTTATTCTATTGTATATAGAGTTGTTTATAATGTGACAAATTTATGATGAAGGCTGCAAGAAATAGCTTGCAGTAGTAAAATGCTGTATAGTGTTAGCAGGTTGATTATTATATTTCTAATTTTAAATATTATGTTACAAACGATATAGAATGATTTCGACACATAAATATTTTTAAATAAGAATACAATACATGTGTTGTTTTTATTGGTATGTTTTCAACCTTTTACATTATCAAGTTATTATTAACTTTCTCAAGTTAACTCGATGAATGTACAAACGAATGAACAACTGAACAAAAAACCAACACTGCTGTGTGAGAAAGTCGTGTTCTCACATAGCCGTGTTGGTTTTTTGTTCAGTTGTATGATTTGAAGTATTTTGTACATCTGTCAGTACATAAAGTACATAAGGTAATAAAATTTTATTTTACAAAAGTCACATTTGAGTTTTATTTTATTATCATTAAACATGATTTTTCTCTTACATAATACAAAGATGTGTCATAATATAATGTCTTATTAGCTAATATTACTAAATTATGCATGATTTTCAATGATAACTTCACATTATACTATGAATTAATCATGTTACTTCGATGGGCTCATGCTTCCCCAGTAAAGTTGATGACAATTTTTTCATTCTTTGGTTTGTATGACCTGGAACATAAATATAGGCCATTAAAGTTAAACCAGTCAGAATTGATGCAGAGTTATATTGCTGTATAAAGGAACGAATAATCATATCAAAGCATTAATTAACAGTTGATGAAAGTGATCGAGTGCTCTGAAGAATTGTTCAGATTAATTACAGCCCCCAAATTTCACGAACGCACTTCAAATCAAACATTGTTTTGACGCGATGTGGGTTCCTTCCGAGTTTTATAATATAATATTTTATTAAAAAACTTTTCCTCGTACAATTTATCTATAGAATTGTTTACCACCGGTGATTTTACCGGACCGATACGACTTAAGGACCTTTGAGAAGAGTCAGTTTAATTACACACTGTGAAGAATTCCATCTTAGTCTTTAGAGGGCACAACCCATCTGTAACCTTAGTTTGTATTAAGTTTGTGCAGCTGTCTGTGAGCTGCAGTAGCCACATATCATCAGGTGGATTGTAAGTTTGTTTGTCACTTATGTTATTATAAAATTAACAATTGCAGCCAAGTCAATATAGGGCGTCCACAGACTGTCATAAACCATGTTCTGAGCTGTCCACACTCTGTTATTATTGGTATTATTTGAGCTAACAATATTTTCCTAAAATGCATAATAATAATCTAGAATATAACATACCAATGTTTAACTCCAGCAGCATCTAACATTATTTTAGAAGCTATGACACTGTCTTTGTGAGCATTCTTATCTGATATATAGATAACCTCTGTTATTCCAGACTGGATAATAATTTTTGCACACTCATTACAAGGAAATAGACTAACATAGATAGTGCAGTTCTTAACATCAGCAGAATTCCTGAACAAAATTGCATTCATCTCAGCATGACAAACTGAAAAGAATGAATACAATTGTAATCATTAAGATTTTATATATTTAAAACAACATGAAATATATTGTGAAATAGAATAAATTTCTTACTTTTTTAATTGGGTTGTGTAAAACCTATTGAAAAAACGTTTTAAATGTTGACTTGCATTATTGAAATTATTGCGGTGCGTACATAATATATAACATAACATGTTATAAAATGTTATATATGTAATAAAGCGTGTTATATAACGTGACACAAATAATATATAACTCGAACGGCGGAACGCCAAACGAAAATGTCATACCACAATGTCATATAACATTGTTATATTGGATTGTTATTCTAATGTGTACAGTATTGTTATATTTTGCAATGTAGAAAAACCATGTTACATAATGTGGACGTGTTATAAAACAAAAGTTATACAACATGTTACTTGATATGTACGCATCCTTACATTTACAGTGGGAAAAACTGAAAACTGTTAGCATAATGTAATAATTGCATTGTACAAAATTAACATTATTATCTTATCAATGATAGGGCATATAAGCCATGATTTATTGATTTGATTTATTTTATCAAATCGTAATATTTAACAACAGTAACAATAATCCAGTTTATAACTTCCAACATCATATATGCATGAGCTTCCTGGCTCAGCTTAGCTCAAGGTTCAGACTCACTGATTGATCACTTCAGTTTTTACTTGCTTCTAGCTACACATGCAAAGACTAATCTGTGAATTTTACTGTTACAAAATGAATTTATACATTTAAATAAAATTGATTGTCTGTCTGTAATATAGAAATAATAGCCTTTTATTAAGTTCAGTGGTTGTCATGAATTTTGAAATTTTTGTCTGTCTGTGTGCCTCTCCTGGCTTATCTTCGTAATGGCCTTACCCATTGTGATAAAACTTCACATACAGATTGAAAGTAATGTCAGGAGTGATCTAGGCTAATGAGTGAATAATTAATTTTTTTTATAAAAAGATAAATAAATTACTTTAATTATAAAATTACCGTGTAGTGGCGGTTAAGAATATCCACTACCCCATATCTTCCCGTGGGTGTCGTAAAAGGCGACAAAGGGAAACAGGCAGGAGATGGGCAGCAGCATCTTCCTGGTAACGACAAAATACAATAAAAAACTGCGGTTGCCAACCCGCTCGCCAAGCGTGGCAACTATGGCAATATACCCCCCATAATGAAAGTAACGAAGAGACGGCCCCCAGTCCCCGGCGGCCCCGCTATTCCTGGCTACGGTGGCGACCATGGTAACGGCGGGGCAGGGGGTGCTAAGAATCTCCGGTGGAGGTTCGGTTGCCACCTACAACGACTCGACCTGGCAACATACAACGCACGCACCCTGAGGACTGACGAGAAGATTGTGGAGCTGGAAGAAGAGATAGACAAGTTACGCTGGCATATTATAGGATTATCCGAAGTCCGAAGAGAGGGGGAGGACACGGTAATCCTCGAATCCGGCAACTTGCTCTATCACCGGGAGGGCGACCATCTGTCCCAAGGAGGTGTCGGATTTATCGTCCACAAGTCTCTCGTTAACAACGTTGTAAAGATTGAGAGTGTGTCGACGAGGGTTGCGTACCTTATACTCAGAATCACCAAACGGTATTCGCTGAAGGTCATACAGGTTTACGCACCAACCTCGGCACACCCCGATCAGGAGGTGGAGGAAATGTATGAGGATATCTCTAGAGCCATGCATTCCTCCAAAACCCAATATACGGTGTTAATGGGAGACTTCAATGCAAAACTAGGCACAAGAGAGAACGGTGAGCTGAAAGTGGGGAAATTTGGAATAGGGCAACGGAACCCAAGGGGCCAGCAGTTGGCCGACTTCATGGAGAAAGAGGGACTCTTTATGATGAACTCTTTCTTCCAGAAGCGGCCCCACAGGAAGTGGACCTGGTCGAGCCCCGACGGTTCGACAAAAAATGAGATTGACTTCATTATGACGACCAGACGACAACTGTTCAGTGATGTCTCAGTGATCGCGAGGGTGAAAACCGGCAGCGATCACCGAATGGTTAGAGGCACACTGAACCTAAACGTTAAGTTGGAGAGGTCTCGTCTAATGAAGTCAACGCTCCGTCCCCCTCGTGCTCTAATCCAAGGTCACGAAACCTTTCAGCTCGAGTTGCAAAACCGTTTTCAGTGCCTAGAAGACTGCAATGAAGTGGACGATTTGAATGACAAGCTCGTGGAAACTGTCCATGCGGTCGGAGCTAAGTTCTGCAAGACCCGCCGCAGAAGAACACAAAAACTCTCCGATCACACTCTTAATCTCATGGCTGTTAGACGGGAGATGAAGCTACATTCTTCAACAGATTTGACAGCATACAGGCAACTGAACAGACAGATCTCCAAATGCATGCGGCGGGACTTACGCAACTTCAATACAGCTCGTATTGAAGAAGCGATCGAGCGGAACCAAGGCTCCAAAGTCTTTGCCAGAGATCTGTCTGCCAGAAAGAGCCAACTGTCAAAGCTGAAGACCGAATGTGGCAGCATCGTTTCCGGGGCACCTGAGATTTTGAGTGAGATTGAGAGGTTCTATGGGCAGCTGTACACGTCATCGTTGGAGCCACACGCAAGTGTGAGTAACGATCCAAGAGCGAGTCTTATCCGACATTATTCCGATGATATCCCGGACGTCAGTCTGAGCGAGATTAGAATGGCTCTCCAGCACCTTAAAAACGGCAAGGCCCCAGGCCAGGATGGAATTACAGCGGAGCTTCTGAAAGCGGGTGGAAAACCGGTACTTGAAGTCCTTCAGAAGCTCTTTAATTCCGTCCTCCATGGTGGCATTACACCGGAGGCGTGGAGCAGAAGTGCGGTGGTCTTGTTCTTCAAGAAAGGCGACAACGCTCTCTTGAAGAACTACAGACCGATTTCCCTTCTGAGCCGCGTCTACGTGCTGTTTTCGAGAGTCATTACGAATCGTCTCGCGCGCAGACTTGACGACTTCCAGCCTCCCGAACAAGCCGGTTTCCGAAAAGGCTTTAGCACCATAGACCACATACATACCCTTCGGCAAATTGTACAGAAGTCCGAGGAGTACAATTTGCCACTATGTCTGGCGTATGTGGACTATGAGAAAGCCTTTGATTCCGTCGAAATTTGGGCGGTGCTGCAGTCCCTTCAGCGATGCCAAGTTGACTGTCGGTATATCGAAGTGTTGAAGTGCTTGTACAGTAGGGCTACGATGGCTATCCGAGTACAGAACCAGAGTACGAAACCTATCCAATTGCAGAGAGGTGTAAGACAGGGTGACGTCATATCCCCGAAACTCTTCACCGCTGCATTGGAAGACGTTTTCAAGCTTCTGGACTGGAAAGGATACGGTATCAACATCAATGGCGAGTACATCACTCACCTTCGATTTGCCGACGATATAGTCCTTATGGCAGAATCGCTGGAGGACCTAAGCACTATGCTCAATGACCTCAATAGTGTTTCCCAACGGATAGGTCTTAAGATGAACATGGACAAAACAAAGATCATGTTTAATGTCCATGTCACACCTATGCCGGTAGTTGTTGGGAACACTAAGCTCGAAGTTGTTGACGAGTATGTTTACCTGGGACAAATAGTCCGACTAGGTAAGTCCAACTTCGACCGAGAGGTCAATCGACGGATTCAACTCGGTTGGGCAGCGTTCGGGAAATTACGGCACATCTTCTCGTCAGGTATACCTCAAAACTTGAAAACGAGACTGTACACCCAGTGCGTGTTGCCAGTGATGACATACGGAACTGAGACGTGGTCCTTCACTGCTGGCCGGATGAGGAAGCTCAAGGTCGCTCAGCGAGCTATGGAGAGGGCTATGCTCGGAGTTTCTCTGCGTGATAAACTCAGAAATGAGGATATCCGCAGTAGAACCAGAGTGACCGACATAGCCCAACGGATTAGTAAGCTGAAGTGGCAATGGGCCGGCCATATGGCTCGAAGAACCGACAACCGATGGGGAAGAAAGGTTCTCGAGTGGCAGCCTCGTACCGGCAGGCGAAGTGTAGGGCGTCCCCCCACTAGATGGAGTGATGACCTGGTAAGATTTGCAGGAAGTCGATGGATGCAGGTGGCTCAGGACCGTGCTTTGTGGCATTCTTTGGGGGAGGCCTATGTTCAGCAGTGGACTTGTGAAGGGCTGTAATGATAATGATGAAGTAAATTATTTATTCATCATGTTAGTACAGGTTACTGAGTGAGTTAAGGAAAAAGTGAATAAGTTTTTGCTATGTTAAGACATTTAAATTTTTACACTAGTGTTTCATCACTGCTTATAGTTCATTTCAAATAGGATGGCAGGATTCCACTTGAGACTTAGCAATTACAGCTGTAATGTTAATCTATTGTTGTGTGATTATTTTATTGCTTTAACACTTGAAGTTAAAGCATCTGTTGATAATAATGAACCAGTATAGCTGGAATGACGAATTTTGGTACTTGAACATTAAAACAAATTAAATTGTAGATAAAAAACCTTTATTACTTTTAACTTAACTTGATTGATTAAACAAAATATTAACAAGTTGTTATAAGTATTTAAAATAGTTAAGTTAAAAGTAATAAAGGTTTTTTATCTACAATTTAATTTGTTTTAATGTTCAAGTACCAAAATTCGTCATTCCAGCTATACTGGTTCATTATTATCAACAGATGCTTTAACTTCAAGTGTTAAAGCAATAAAATAATCACACAACAATAGATTAACATTACAGCTGTAATTGCTAAGTCTCAAGTGGAATCCTGCCATCCTATTTGAAATGAACTATACTACCAGGTGTGGTTAGTAAAGCACTAGCTTTTTTGGCAACTATGTTTTTTTATAGGACAAGGGTGACAAACAAGTACACAGTCCGTCTATCTATCTTCGATTACGAATCAAAATGCAGATGCGTTGTCACCCGTGAGGACTAAGATGGAATGCCTCGTTTCCAGTAAAAAGGGTCTCCGGTTCTCTACAATCACCATACGAAACACAGCAGCGTT